AAAAAAACATTTCTGACTTTTAACAAATATTTATGTACCAAAAAAATATTCAAAATAGGATTAAAACATTATCAATATTCTCAACATATGAGTGACATATTTGTATATCATAATAGAAGTTTAATTTGTACAGTGACAATGTGCCCTGACATTGTATGTTGGTATTGCGCAATGTATATTTCATACTCCGTATTATATATATATATATATATATATATATATATATATATATATATATATATATATATATATATATATATATGGCATTATAATCTCTTATTCTGGGAGGGAACAATTCATGTGACATTGGCTCTCAATGTCCAACGACGCTCATGAGGGTGTGCAAACTAGCTAGGTATGCACCGCACACGGCCTCCAAACTTTTAGGACCCATATGTTAATTGTTTATTATTTTAATTACTTGATATTATATTTTTACATTTATAAATTTATAAATTTATAATTTAATATTCAAAGGTTATAAAAATACTTATTAAGAGCACCGGAAATGGTCGTGAAGCCCCGGGGCTTCAAACCGGGGGCTTCAAACCTTCTTTCTCTGTCACATCAGCTTTAACTTACACCAAAAATTCACTGGAAATGGGTTTGAAGCCCGTGGCTTCAAACTAGTGTTTTAAACCTCTATTTTTTCACATTTATTTAAATAAATTTAAATGACAATAACTCATTAAATAAAAGAAATATATTCAATAAAAAATTACATTGATATAATAAGATTTGAATAATAACAACATAAATAAAAAAATTACATTACATTACGAAGACATTAGTGATTATTTGAGTGACTAAAAATATCTTCTCGTTGGCCTTGTTACCACCATTGATAACGTAACGAAAAATAAGAGCTCTCTTTTCATCGTCAGATGATGATCTCATTTTTTGAATATTTTGTAGAGATAATTATAAGAAATATAATATATTTTAGATGAATTATGGTGATACTGAGAATAAATTGTGTGTGTTTATTGTGTTAAAAATAAGAGGTATTTATAATATTGAAAATATTTTTTTAAAAAACAATGAATGCCCAACGGTCCAAATTATGGCTGTTGGGGGAGGGAGAACGGTTGGGAGAGGGAGAGGCGCTGCGTCAAACCTTTAAAGCAGACCTTTTAACGCCCGGATGATGGTAAAGGAGGCAGGGTTTAACGCCTCCATGCGTTAAAACACACTAGATTCGTACCCGTGCGATGCACGGTAAGAAATTCAATCAATAATTTATTTACTAATATTCAAAAATAATCAATAAGTACATTATTTCATAAATATATGGAGTACTTAGTTTGTACCAAAAAAATATTTCTTGGTAAGAAATAAATGGTGTGTTATTGATGGTCTACAAATACAAATCACTAAAGAAAGTAATTACAAAAATTAAAAAACCATCCTAACAGTCCCAAGAACTCAGCCTTGGGAATGGAGACTCATTTTTTATCACAAAAGATATACTCCGTAATTCTTAAAGAAAACAAAACTATAAAGATTGGATCTTCAAAGCATCAAAGATATTTTTTTAGCAAAAAAGCTAAGAAAGAAAATATGTTCATTTCTCATCAAAGTAAATCCAAGAAGGCCTAAGAATTGGATTACTGGCACCAATATGTTACTTGAGATTCGAAAATTTAGGGAATATAGATAGGACACATATTATACTCCCTCCGTCCTAAAATTAACTTCTCATAATATGCAGTCAAAGTTTTAAAACTTTGACTGCAAAAGTCAAAATGGAAAATTAATTTTAGGACGAAGGGAGTAGTATTTTGGAATAAGTGAATGTTCTTTTTTTTTTCTCTCTTTTCATCTATGATATACTTCAATATGCGTTGAAGATACTCCATAACATCTTTAGATAAAGGAGCATAAAGAGTAAAGTGAACAACACAAAAAAACAGAAACATCACAAAAGCTTTTGAAGGCAGTAAGAATGGCCAATGTCAGATTACATTATCACGGGGATGGATATCTTCTCTCTTAGGAAAACTTCAGGTTAGTGTTTCTTAATTTCAACCTGAAAGATAGCCCTTTAGTACTCTGTGTGATTTTAAAATACATGCTTTGCANTCTTTGGCTACCTGTTTGCCACATGAAACTGCGAAATGTAATTAATTTCCCTCCTCTGGTGGTGGTTCGTTACTTCGTTTAGATCTTCCCAATTGCTACTTACCCACCTACACATGCACACACAAAAGTATCCATTAGAATGACAGTAAATATAGTCCAAAGTGTATAGGAGAGTTAATCTCAAACCACCAGAATGTGTGTGGATCAGTTTCTCCACAGATCGAAATGGTTTCACTGACTGTTCTTGTGTCAAGAAGAATGTCCTTCATCTAGGCACTACCAGCTGAACTTGATATTGGGCACTGCTCTTTCTACTCGTCCTCATGCTTCTTCTTCTAAAATCTCCAATACTATTGGATATGAATAGATCAAATTGTATTAACTAGCTCAAATTGTGTATTACATGGTTAAGTCCTATATATAGAAAATGAAAAACAAGTAACAACCAAAAATATCTTTCTAGCTAACTAACTAACAAACTATGTAACTAATCAAGTAAACAAGTGCTAAATGGTTGATTGCACCAACAAATACACATCCACTTCCTCCTTTGTTAAGGACTTGTTTCTCTGAAACATCACTGAAAATTCCAAAACCTTTATGCAGATGGAATCCATCCTTGGAAGAAAAATGGAGCTTTTTTTAGTAGGACGATATGGTCAAAATTGTTGAAGTAGTTTAATTAAGAACTCATTAATGACCAAACTCAAACCTAAAAAAATACTGAAATCCCAATACGTTCTTATGGGTGTTGATGTATCAAAATATTGACAGAATGTAGAAACAAAATGTCATCATAATGGGTCTTGATATATTAAAATAGTTGGCAAATATAGAGCATATATACCTTCATGGGGTTTTTTTTTAAATGCCATACTGGGAAAAATCATTGATAAAGATGCATATGTAATTAAGAAAATGCATTTAAAAACTAAAAACTCTCAATTGACTTACTCTGTATTGAATATTGTTGATTTTTATGACAAAAAAAACATTGCTGACTTTTAAGAAATATTTATGTACCAAAAAAATATTCAAAATAGGATTAAAACATAATCCATATTCACATATTTGTATCTCATAATAGAAGTTTAATTAATTTGTATAGTGACAACATGCACTGACATTGTATGTTAGTTGGTTGCGCAATGTATATTTCATACTCCCTCCGTCCAAAATTAAATTTTACATTATGCGTTACGATGTTTGACTGAAGTTATTTTCAAATTATTTTATATGAAAAATGGTGTAGAAATGAAAAATAAAAATTACATATTAAAAAACTATATCAAAAGATCTACATGATTATATTATTTTATCAAATAGGTGACGAAAATAGGCGAACAAAGTGAATAAAAGTACCAAAATAGGACTTTCATGTTTTTTTCCATAAATAGGACTTTGCACTGTGATAATGTGACAGTGTACATGTGCAAATTACTATACGTTTTTGGTAATGTATATGACCATGTATGGTAATGTAAGTCCTATTTCGGGAATAAAAACATGGAAGTCTTATTTTGGTATATTTTCAATGTTTTAGTCTCACTTTAGTCTTTTTCGCTGAAGTCAATTGTCGAATGGATCAGGGGGGAGCTAGAGATGAGCAAAAGGACCGATGCAGTCAGACTAGACCGGTCTTTGGAAAAGATTGCTACAGTAAAAGACTAGACCAGACTAGTCTTTTTAAAAACCCGGTCTTAACTAGTCCAGTCTTCTTATCAAAATCAAAGGCCAAATAAGAGCACTAGTCCAATCTAGTCCGATCGGTAGTCCAATCCAGTCCGGTCTCTAGACCCAACATATTGGGTCAAGATTGTAGTTTTGCGATGTTGTGTCATGGTTACCAAATAGTCCATCAACTCTTTTTGCATCAGTCGAGATTGCATGTTGCACTTCGCTCGCTCAATCGCTGATTCTCTGAGGACATCTTTGAGGACTAGCTCTACTGCTCTAGGACGGAGTTTTGTGACACTTGAGTTTATGTTGAAACTCTAAGAAAATACTTATGAAATAGGGGAAGCCGAGAAGTATGAATCATTTCTAATTTGTATTACTCTATATTATTTTTTTTAACTTTTTTATACGTACTACTACATATATACTTCGTAATTTACAAGTAATACAATTAGACTCTAAAGGACTAGTTTTTTGGACTAGTCCTAGTCTTTAAACTAATCTTTTACTAGTCTCTCGGACCGGTTCAGGTCTTTAACATGTCTTTTTCTAGTCTTACACTAGTCATAGTCCTCTATAAATATTAAGGAACATTTGAGACTATTGGTCTTGGACTAGACTAGTCTCAAGGACTACTTCGGTCCCAATCTTTCAAGTCCAAATCCTAGTCGGTCTTGGTCAATCTTTTCAGTACCAATCTTTATGCTCTTCTCTAGAGGGAGCATGGGGTAGAAAGGCTTGGGGGGCCGATTGGCTACGGATGAAATATTAAATAATGAAATTTCGTTTTCCTGAGGCAATGCATAGGTCCGTTATTTCAGAAAGAGTGATGCTAGAGTCACAAATAAACAGTTCACAAAATTTACAAATTTACCTTTTTAGCACTTTTCTAGAAATAAGATGCACTCAAATATTAAAAAATATTTTAATTTAAATTCTACAAAAAGCAAGTTTGTGAAATTTGTGAACTTCAAGTTTGTAACTCTAGCATTTTCCTCACAGAAACTTAGATTGTCTTGTGATAAAATAATGTCTTTAATGAGACTAATTTACACTCCCTACGACTCTCAAAGTTAGTTGAAGCCAGACAAATTAAAATAATTTGACCAATTTCAAATTTATTTAGGTGAGAGGTAAAAGATAGTCTTCTCCCTTTAATTTTTAAATAAGTGTTTCCGTTTTTTTTTTCGTTTTAATTGCGTAGTACACTACAAATACATCTGCCATGCACTAATAATATCATAATTCATTTTTTATATTTCAACACTGAACCAAAACATAGATTAGTTAATTCTAACCAAAACGTAAAGCAAAATGACTTCAATAACGTCTTCTCTAGTTATCCTTTTCTTCGCCCTGTGGCATCTCTCTCTGCTGCCCCAAACATTCCACCGGAAACAATTCTTCGCCACTGCCGCCGCCGGAAGCGGAGGCAAATGGGACCTACTCCTCCCCAGCACCGGGGTCTCCGCCATGCACATGCAGCTCCTCTACAACGACAAGGTCGTCATGTTCGACCGCACCGATTCCGGCCCCTCCAACATATCGTTGCCCGTCGACAAGTGCGGCGGGAAAGCCGTCCCCGACGACGACGAGGGGGACGACGGTGGTGGCGGCGGGGACGACCCAGTGGTGATCGACAACTGCACCGCTCATTCCGTTGAATACGACGTTGCGTCCAACTCCGTCCGTCCCCTCGTCGTCCTCTCCAACCTCTGGTGCTCCTCTGGGTCAGTCTCCCCGTCTGGCGTCTTAGTCCAGACAGGGGGCTACGGGTCTGGAGAACGCGTCGTCAGGCTTTATAAGCCGTGCAACGATGCAAAGTGCGACTGGGAAGAAATCCATGACGGGTTGAAACAAAGGCGGTGGTACGCCACCGATCATGTTCTGCCAGATAGCCGGCAAGTCATAGTCGGTGGACGTCGCGCACCTACCTACGAGTTTTACCCGAAGACGGGGCCCGCTTCAGGTAACCTCTACAACCTGCCTTTTCTGGCACGGACAAACGACGCGGGAGCGGAGAACAATCTTTACCCGTTTGTTTTCGTGAACGTGGACGGGAATCTATTCATATTCGCAAACAACCGGGCAATCATGTTCGACTATATTAAGAACCGGGTGGTCCGCGAGTACCCAGAAGTGCCCGGCGGTGACCCGAGGTGTTACCCAAGCTCCGGTTCTGCGGTCCTTCTACCACTTAAGAACTTGACCGGTCCAACCACTAGAGCTGAAGTGTTGGTTTGTGGTGGCTCGCCAAAGGGCGCGTTTCAAAGCGCCAGGCGTGGCAAATTTGTTCGCGCGCTGGATACTTGCGCTCGGATCACTATAACCGACCCGAACCCACATTGGATAATCGAGGTATAATACTCTTCCCTCCGTCCCAAAAAATCTTTCCTGTTTACTATTACGGCCTCTTGATAACTCTTATTTGTTTGCGTGTTTTCATTGATCATTTGATAAAATAAAATATTCTTGTCAGCTTTTATTTTGTAGAGTTTTCGATGTAGTTTTTAAATATAATTTTTTTACCAATTTGTAAATAAAATTATTTTGAAATCTACGAGGTTTTGCACGTTAATCAAAGTAGGAAATTCTCTTTGGAACGGAGGGAGTATATTTTAACCATACATTTTTTACTTTTTTATAGTGAATTTTATATTTGCCGAATAACAGGTGATGCCATTTCCACGTGTCATGGGTGATATGGTGACGTTACCAAATGCTGAGGTCTTGATCATCAATGGGGCCGGGGCGGGCACTGCGGGTTGGGAATTGGGTAGGAACCCGGTTTTGAACCCGGTCTTATACCGACCCGAAAACCCAATCGGGTCCCGATTCGAACGACAAAACCCAACCAAAACGCCCAGGTTGTACCATTCGACCGCCATTCTAGTCCGCGACGGCCGGGTTCTTGTCGCCGGCAGTAACCCGAATTCCAAATACCAATTCTCGAAAGTTCTGTTCCCGACGGAGCTAAGCCTGGAGGCCTTCTCTCCGTCGTATCTGGATCCGAGATTCGACAACCTACGCCCGCGGATCCTATCGCCCGACCGGCGATCCGAATTGCGCTACGGAGAATCCGTCTCGGTCCGGTTTGAGGTTCCCGGCGCGGTGGAGGCGAATCTGGTCACCGTCACGATGGTTTCGCCGTCATTCAGCACGCACTCGTTTTCGATGAATCAAAGGTTGCTGGTTCTCAACGCCGGAAAAGCGGAACCCGCGGGCAAAAGAATGTACCGTATTGATGCGGAGACACCGGGTTCGGGTCAACTAGCCCCGCCCGGATACTATCTCCTTTTCGTGGTTCATCAAGGCATCCCCAGTGAAGGCATCTGGGTTCACATCCATTAAATTAATTAATTAATTAATTAATTGATTATTTAATTAAAATCAAATTTCGGAAACATCCAAGCAAAAAATAATGAATAGTATTCCGTGTTTTAAGGTTGTTTGTATATATATTTTATATATACACACGGAAGAGTGTAAATAGTGAAATCATTTTGGATCATTTGATTTATAATTGGGATGGATAATGAGAAAATTCTACACGGAAAAAAATCTTACTTATTTCGGGCTGATTGTGTTAATTAAGTCAATGTACTTAATTACAACTACTTAGGACTGGATATCTTGTAATCAAAATCCTAGAGTCACAAAAAAATAATTTACAAATTTCACAAGTTTGCCTTTTGTAGATTTTAATTTTAAATATTGAGTACATTTTATTTCTAATAAAATATTAAAAAGGTAAGTTTGTGTTGTGACTCTACCATTATTCATCCTGTAATCCATATTATCCCCACTCAAGCCATTTTTTATGATTGAGTTTGGGCAATGTGTTATGGATAGAGGTCTACAAAATCTAGGTTGGACGAGAAGGTTGGATCGAAAAAAATAGTTCCATGCTAAACTAGTAAATATTCAGATCGTACATTGAATTGAGACCGACATACTTCTGATTAAAATCGGATAGTTTCTGGTCAGATCAGTATGATCAGCATGTTTTTACTCTTTTAGTTTTTATCTCTTTAATACTATCTCTTTCCTTGATTATTTGTCCAATTTTAATTTTTTTAATTAATCATTTTCAATCTTTGATCTATAATTAAATAAAATATATTTCGTATATTAGTTAGATGAAGTAGTACATCCTCGAGAATGTAAATTAAATTCTAATCATAGTCTGACTTACAAAGACTAGAATTTGCATAGTGTTCTCACCGCTAGATGTTGAATTGAACTCAACATCTTCTTTCTATTGGGTTAAAATAAATAATTAGTCAACTGAACTAATGAAACACTCGTTAACTAACCCGTGCATTATATGTTACTCCCTCCGTCCACATAAGATCTTCTTATTACGCGTTATGAGGTTTGACCGACTTTATTTTCAATTCAATTTATTTGAATATAAGGGTAAAATTTTAATATAAAATCTATGTAGTAATAAACTATATGAAAAGTTCTACAAAACTAGAGGTGACAACACTATATTATTTTATGAAATGAGTAGTAAAAATAAACAAACAAAGTAAATTAAGTTTAACCATATGAATAATGACTGTGAAGATCTATGGTGGACAGAGGAAGTACTATGTTATCTTGAAAATACTCCTGGAGTCCTGGTCGTGTTCTAATGTATTACTCCATCCGTCCCCCAGTATTTGTCCACATTTGACTTTTGGAACTGCTCATCTAAGCACTTTGACTTATCAAATTCTCTCAATGTGTAAGCCTAAATATAGTCATGTATAATCTTGTTTGATTTGTCTTAATATATAGATTATTAATTTTTATAATTTTTTAATATACAAATTACAAGATAAAATGGATTAAAGAAATGCATTGGATGATGTGTAAAAATGAAAGTGGACAAATACAGGGGGACGGAGGGAGTATTATTTTATGGAGTTGTTCTTATATGGTTCTAAGGTGCATATTTGAATAGTGAACTTTCTCACACTTTTTATGAGATGATAAATAGATATTTTATTTTTTGCAAAATGCTCAATTCTTTTATAAAATCAATATACTAAAGCTTATAGAATGGACATGAACCATAACACCAGATAAGAATTTATCTATTTTTTACAAACTTTAAAAATACAGTTAAGAAAAAGCAATAAAAGAAGAAATGAACATTATTATTTTTAATTAAAAAAATATGCACAATTTATTCTTAAAATTTGTTTAATCTTTAAAAATGGAATAATATGTATTAGTTATAATTTAATTTTCTACAATTTATTTTTTTTCCTGCTTTTTCATTATTTTAATGAATCAAATATAAGTTTGAAATGCTACATGGTATATAAAGATACATAAACTCGTGACGATAAATATCAATATGTTGATCGGGTTGTTGAAGCGATTCAATCAACGGATTAAGAGTTTCTTCTCTTTAACTTACCGTAATTACTTACTCTCTTCGTCCCACAAAACATTACCCATTTTGATGTATTTTTGGTAAAATAGTTACACGCTTTGACCATAAATTAAATATAATCTAAATAAATAAATGTTATAAAATTTGATATATCAAAACTTGATCCTAAGATGAATCCAATTATATTAAATCTATATTATAATTCAATATACATTTTCTTACAACTTGTAGTCAAAGTGTATAATTTTTTGATCAAATAGGTAAATACTACGGAGTATTCAAAATAGGTAAAGTTTTGTGGGGCGGAGGGTGTATTATTTATTCTTATTGATCAGAAAACAACTTTAAAAACGACTAGATAAGAATCAATATGATGAAGAGAACAAACTTTAATCTATAACTCTCTCATTCTTATTAGTAGTGCATTCTTGAAAGGGTAAATCAACCATTCCCCTATTTTGGGAAGAAGGGCGCGTGACTTAACTTTTACCAAGAGTGTAACTTCTCGGGATGGAGATGGATAATGGCCGGCAGGCTTATTAATATGAGGACGAGGAGGAGGACGCAGGGAGAGAATTAAATAGAGAAAGAAAGATCAGACAGCTGCAAAATATATAATTTTGTCATTTTTCCAGCTCTACTTCGTCTATGGCTGGCTGGGTGAGTCCGGATTTGAAGCAGGCGACTGAGCTAGATTCTAGGAGTGCCTTGATGTCCGCCCAACCCGGTGCTCCCTTTTTAGTCTTCTCCTCCAGTTGACGGTTTTGCCTGTACAATTCCCAACAACGAAAATACCATACCCATTCACTGTGCTCTGGTTGAAACTTGAAAGACAACCAGCCAGAGATAGAGGGGTAGAATGGGAAGATCCGCATCAAATTGCTTCAAGATCATCACTTGCGCCTCTGATTCGGCTGACAGTGATGGATTTGATGCTCCTGAGGTATACATACTATAATCCTTTAGATGTTTGTTTTTTTGTGTGTGTCTTGTTTCAATTTCCGGATCCATCTTTGGTTTTCTGCCAATTGGTGGATTTGCTGCCTGTTTTGCAGCTTAGATGTTTCCAAATTTGCTGCTAAGATCTATCTATCTTTGGCATTAATTAATGAAATGTGCAATGATCCCGTCACTGTTTTGCTTCTTCACAGCTGGAGGTGCTATCTTGAGTGATCATTTACTTGTCATTATCTTATTTTGATCTGCTATAGAGATCTATGATCATGGCAGCTCCCCATTATGAGCTTGCCTTCTTTGTCAGTTTATTAAAATGGCCGGCCTTCAACTTCATGTGGGCTTTAGATAGCTCAAATATATCAAACAACCATATCGGAGTTACACATATTAGGCTGGGAACCAACCTTAAAACAACGTTTATCAACAGCATTCAGGTTAGGGTGTCATGTGAAGAAGACAATTTTGTACCTTCTGTAGTTGGTTTGGAACTCGGGAGGGAATGATAATAGGACGGAAAGTAGAAGAGACATTTGGGAGAAACATAAAAATTGGTTTGAGAGAGATTCTGATTCGGCTTGGAAGTTGGGATTAAAGTGCATTAATAGATCTTGCTTTTTAATAAGCATGTTGTTGATAAAGATACCACTTGGTGAAAAATTATGGGTGTTCTGCTTCAAAACAGAACCAATCAAAATTACCTAGATCATTGTGTGGAATTTATTCATAATTTAAAAAGAAATGGCATTTGGAGTTAATGTGCTCATTGTGTAAATTTGAATTGTTTTTTTCCCAGTCCAAGTGTTCAAGTGATAAAAGAGGATGGAGTTTCAGGAAGAGATCTGAAAGGCACCGTGTTTTGAGCAACACAGTGGTAATTGCAGAAACACAACCTCGAAAGAAAGACAGCCCAGAAGCAGCTCCCATCATCTCTCAAACACAACCTGACGCTGTCATTCCAGACAAGACAACCTCCACTGATCAACAACTTAGCTCCAACCTTCCAGACAAGACCTATTCAACCGAACCACTGCCTGTTGATGCAGAGAAGGTCTATGTTAAAGAGCCTGTTCAGTGTACTGATGAGGAGCCACAGCCTCCAATTTCTCTGGAGAAAAAATCAGTGGAGAGTGCTTCTAGTGAAGTGGATGATCATAACGATGAGCTAGCCCCAAAGGAATCAGATGTTATTGCTATACAGGCTGCTGTCAGAGGGTTTCTGGTACATATATTTTGTTCTATTTCATTTTAAGTAATCATCCATACATGGCTTTATTTGTTTGGTTGGGACAGAAAAAGAAGAGAAAGAAATGTACATTATTATTGAAAAGATAAAAACACTCCCAAAAGTAAAAAAATGATACAAATTATAAAAAGGAGAGATAAAAATGAATTTTTCCCCATGTCTTCGCATGAGAGGAGATAAAGACAAGGTTGTGATCTTTCCATGTTCATTGCAAACCAAACTAGGGAAAATTGCAATTTCTCTCTTCTAATTCTGTTTTACTCTTTAAACAAACAAATGCTAAACGAAATGATTGAATCATAGCATAGGCACAATGCAGATAGTGTTTTATTATATAATGGTTTTGTTTCTACTTTCCTATAGGCTCAAAACTCACTAATGAAGCACAAGAATGCAGTCAAACTGCAAGCTGCTCTACGTGGACATGTGGTTAGGAGGCAAGCGGTGGGAACTCTGCGGTGTGTTCAAGCTATCGTTAAAATGCAAGCTCTCGTTAGAGCTCGCCGTGACCATAAATCTTCAAATTTGGTAAGTAGATACATGTCATGATTTCAATCCGAGGCTGTACTTTGATTTTTAATTAAGGGTTTGTTCTTTATCATTTTCTACTCTATGCTTTTTAAAACTAAGAATAAAGTTGCAGACTATGCAGAGTATGAAAACTACAAAGTATTTGTAAAAAAAGTGTTTTCAGTTTTTGATACAGTTTTGATAGTTAACTTGAATTGTATGAGTACGACTACTTTTTAGTTCATTATACAACTTGTATCCAATGATTCCTTTTTACTCCTTCCCTTATTGCCCTCAAACTTTACTTTTTCCCCACTTCCTTTTTAAGCTATGTGATTCACATTATTTTTCTCTTCAAAATAAATTTCAGCCATATTTTCAAAATTTGAACTTTGTGCCCGGTCAAACCGGTCGATAATAAAGGGATGAAGAGAGTTCAGTATACAATTTGTATAATAGAATAATGCTCTTCAACTGTGAGCCTTATTCCATTCAAGTATATCCCCTCTTCATGTCAAAATGCAGATTCCTTTCAGATGTATAACATTATAAATAGATTAATTGTTATCAATTGTTGAATCTCACAACTCAAAATATTTAATGTTATATGCATCACTAGTGCTACCATTTGCTCAGCAATAATTTTATATTGATAATTCCATCTGTCTCTAGGGAATGGAACACTCCAGCAAAAAGGTCCGAAGCTCTAACGCTTCCATGGAAAAAATACTAAGCAATAGCTTTGCTCGTCAGGTGACATGGCAGTCCTGTTACATTACATCCATGCCCTTTTTAACTTTCTGTTCCCCAAGAAAGCTGACTTACTTTATTCTTATTATTTTTGGAAGCTTCTGGAATCATCGTCTCCGAGAACCAAAACTATAAATATTAAGTGTGATCCTTCAAAATCTGACTCAGCATGGCTATGGTTAGAGAGATGGATGACTGTTCCAACAAGGATGTCCCCAATTGCAGAAACACCTGCTGAGCAGCTGGAAGAAAAGAAAGTGGTTGAACACTTGACTCTTACTGAAACTCCATCTGCAGCTAATAATGGATCTAGTAGAAAGGAATCGGTAGTACCACCAGAAAGATTTATCAGTGATGATGCAGACAGTTTATCTGTTCAAGAAACTCATTACAAGCTGGAAGATACTCAGACCCAGGGTCTCATTAGTGAGTTGGGTTCTTTCCCTTGTCCATCAAGTTCAAAGGATAATACTACTACTCATTCGACAGGAGGAAACTATTCTTACCCGGATAAGACTGAAACTGAGAAACTGGATGGGGATAACTTCTCTTTTGGATCTAGAAATGCAAGTGGTAATCTCACATTCATTGCTGGCCAGTCAAAATCTGAAGAACTGAGTTTGTCAGTCGGTTCAGCAGTGAACACGACCAGTTTGACCAATCAAGAAACTGGAACAGATTATTTCCCTGATGCAATTTCATCTCCCCCGAATAATGTAACCGAGCATTTCATCAAGAATTCCAGTTTGCACACATCTGTTCTTTTAGTTGCAGGATCTGAATGCAGTACAGAACTTTCCATATCTTCCACACTTGATTCACCAGATAGGTATGAGATTAAAGTTCAAGAGTATGAGCAGGAAACAAAGACTCCTTCCATGGATACTGCTGTAGTGCATCACCATATGAGGAATGAAGATCTGGATATTGACACGCGTGAGCAGACAATTTCACGAAATGAACTTCCAAATGATGAGCAGAAGCCAGAGATGCATGTGGTTGCTGAGCAGATGGAGGTTGGATCTCCAAGAAGTCATGTAACTTTTCCTGAATCCCAAGGCACACCACCTTCTAGTAAAAAGGCATCTTCAGTAAAACCAAAAGCGAGAATAATTGAAAAAAGTGGATCAAACAGCAAAAATCCTAACCAAGACGCAGCAGCAGCAAAGTCTAGTGCTGACACTAATAAGGATCATAAAAGCGGGAAACGAAGAAAATCATTTGGATCTGCAAAAAGTGAACAGCAAGTGGATCAGCAGGAGCATAGAGATAGCAATGCCAGTGGTTCTCTCCCAAGTTACATGCAAGCTACAGAGTCAGCAAAAGCCAAGGCCATCTTAAACAACTCGCCCAGATCAAGTCCAGATGCTCATAACAAGGAAACGTACCAAGTCAAAAAGCGGCATTCTCTGCCTGGTTCAAATGGAAGGCAGCGATCGCCTCGTATTGAACGGTCTTTGTCTCAGGCGCAGCAGAATACCAAAGGAAACGAAATTACTTCCCCCCATGGTATTTTCTGACCCTATTGTTTCTTCTTTAATGTATGACCCTTTTTGCATGCTTTCTGAAATGGTTTTGCCTTGCAGAGAGGAGGTGGCAGAGGTGAAATCCTAACAAAAGCAAACTGGTACCATTAGTTGTCTATGTTTGAGTCAATGGATCAAGTACTTCAGACCTCCACCACCAGAGACCATCTCCTAATGGGAGGGAGATTGATGTAGAAAGAGATGAGTTAATTTTTTCATGTAAATTACCACTTTGCCCATGCTTTTGTTGCTCTTTTGTGTTGGATTTCATTTGTGGGAGGATGTTTTTGTCCTGAGTGAGAGAGGGAGAGAGAGTTATCAGAGTGTTTTCTTCAATTATACATCGTGTAATACCATATCAATGTCTTCTTGCACGTTTGCCTTGTGTGTTGGTTTTGCTTGATTCAAACTGCAGAAAAATACAAAGGGTATTCTTTCTTTATTCTAGCTAGTTCAGTTTGGAGCTTTGATTGATGAAGGGCAAGATTACACGTCGAACTGAAAACACTTTTGTTATTTTATGAGGATTTATTTATGTACACCATCGTACTAGGCACAAGGTACAACGTTAATTAATTGATATGCAACGTGAGGGGCAGCCACCGATTATCGATCTTCACGGCGGATTGCATTGGGATCAGTGACCATGTCCATCATCATCTTCTCGGGGGAGTCTTCCCAACTTCCAAATGTTTTCAAGTCAACCTGCCATGGAAACATAATTATAAACAGTCTTTTCATGGATGCATTTTCCTTCACTCAGTTAGCCTTATAATAAAAATAAGTGGAGATATGTCAAAACTTCATTTGTGCATTATCCCCTTAAACTTTGCCACCGTTTGGCATCAGTGCTAGAATTTAGCTTTCGTGTTTTGAAAAGTTGTCCAAGGACAACATTTAGCTTTAGACTTTTTTAGATGCTAATCGACACCATTGAAAACTTATTCAAAAATCTAACACTAATTGCAAAGTTGTTCCCAAACAGACCCTTCACAACTTATAAATCTGAAGAATCAACTTATTAAAGGGGAATGATTACCTTCCTCCTTTGCTGAGTAAAAATTTCCTCCCTCTTCTTATAAGCTGTTTGCATTTCTTTGGGTTTTTTCCCTCCCAATCCCCATGCCTCAACATCTACTATTGAAGCTTCAAGTGGCAAGAATCCCTGTGGGCCAAATAAAAGATGAAGATTGAAAATGTCATTAAAGATTTAAAGATAATGTACAGTTCAGTGGTTTGTAGACCAAATAGTTTGCATTCAAGTACGTGAGGGCTTTGAAATCCACAAGTGTTCTGAGCAAGAGCTATCAGGCAAGCTTAAACAGGACCTTTGGTAAGCGTGGATTGAGGTTTGGGAATTGGAGGGTAAAATGGGAAGTAGGAATTGTTAATGAGGAACTTTAAAATAACATCATTCCCTTGTTTGATGAGTATGGGGAATAAATATAGATTTTCTGAACTACCATTACAAAAGTCCTCTATGTTTGTGGAGAATAAAGATCTTTTAATCCCACTCCCACTCCCAATTTTTGTTTCACATTCCACTAACAAATATAGAAATTTGAGAGTGAGATGGGAATTGATAATCCCACCCCCTAAATCCCCTGAAACAAACAAGCGTCCTACATATGAGATATGCTATTGGCTATTGCCACTCAAATTTGGCTTATTAACACTCCACTTATTCATAAAATACCCTTACTATGTTCATTCTATTAAAACAAAAGCAATGTCAATTTAGGAAAAACACACTAATGTTATAACTAAGGAGTGACGATAGTCAAATGGGAATAGCGAGATGACATATACTTTTTCATAGGGAAGGGGGCTAACAGCTAACCTGTCCAGGGAAAAGGGGACCATTCTGATAGGTTTTGTCACAAGCATGATGGCGTAGAGTGATTACAGTGAAATCCTCATCAATAAATATTCTCTCACTGCCAGGAGATCCCCCAAAAGCAATTCCAACAGGCTTTGGATGAGCTTCATACATCCTAACAGTCGGATGCAAGTGGCTATAAACAAAATTTTTCTCCTTCCCTAACCAATCACAAGAGTATTTCCCATGGTTAGTACATAGTGGGGCAGTTTAGTCACATATATAAATACGCAAGAAAACTACTTACCTGAAGGCAACAAAACATGAAACACTGGACTGATAGCATATAAACTACCAGATGTTCCATAAAACGAATCCTTGTTCTCTAAACCCTGATGAATGAGGGCACCAATAATCCATTTCCTTGTGGCATTTTTAGGTTCATAAGCAGCAACCAAAATCAGCAACGGGCCGTTATAGCCTTCAGTTTTTGACCAAAACCTGTTTAGACCTTTCCCATGGATTGATGACCTATATTTTAAAAAAGATGCATGAACAAAAGGATTTAGTAAAGCCAGAGGAAAAACAATAAATTATGGTTGTTAATAGTAGACCCACAAGAAAATAATAACGATGAATGACTCTTCATATAAGCAATTGTATGATTAAATACTACGAGTACTACGTATCAAAGAGCATTAGAATCAACTAAAAAAGAAATAGAAATAAGTAATAAAATAGAACAAAAAATGAAGTGATTTGCTGATGCATTGGGGATGTAGGATTTCAATTTCAGCAAATTGATAATTCCGGCAAAGAAATTTTTATCATGCTTGTGAGTGAGAGAATGGTTGCACAAATTTTGAAACTGTTTTACATATTACATGGGATAGAGATTATTCACCCATAAAATTTTGATGTAGTGTACTAGTGTTTGACTTTTGTCACCAATCAATATTCTTGAGGACAAAAAGGATGTTCCTTATTCCCATAAGGGTTTTTTTTGTTAACTTGAGTTTCATCAAAATTGTAATTTTCTGAAGTAAAACACGTGCCCCTTATTTGGTTCAATTGGTTAAAAAAGATGTAAGGAAATACTCCACTCCCTCCGTCCCAATTAACAAAGTGAAAACAATATGATTGAAAAATATGCAAAGGAGAGAGTAACACTGTGAACCCCATAATACTTTCTTTGAATGAGAACAATCATATTGAATTGGGATGGAACAAAAAGAATAACATGCACAATAAATTGGGACGGAGTTTTATTAAGATAATAGATAAAAAAATACTCTGTACATTCGATATAATTAATTGTGATTAAATTATTAAAACACCAAAAATAATAATCTAGATGCATAAGAATAATGATGTAAAACAATCTTGATAAAAAAATATATAAGGAAATTAAGAAAATATCACTCCAATATCCATTGAATTGGGGAATTGGGAAAAAACATAGCTTCTTCAGTTTCACCTTCCTTCCTGACTCCCCTAACCAAACAACACACAACACTCTCCACTGTCTTCCCCCTCCCATCCAAGGTCCTCCGATAAAACAAGGGCTTAAAGACAGTTTTTTTAAATGACTATCAGAATTATCTTGAATCTCAACTCTGAGAAAGGAAAAGCTGAAATAGGTATATGAAGGTTCATTCTTGTAAAAGAACTGATTGAAATACAAGAAGCTTATCACACATTGAATCCTAGAGGCATGGCTATCTCTAGTCCTTAAAATGCATATTATTGGAAAAAGTAGTTGTAAGTCAAAATAGTAGAATACAATAGTATACAAACCGATAGAGCATGATTTCGTTTATCTCATCTGAGCTACTTGAAAAGTATGCTTTTGAAATTTCATCCCTCATAGTGTCCCTCAAAGTAAGTGAGATTGCCCAGGCCCTTCCACTAGTAAGGAGGTTGCTAACAGGATTCTCCTTTGGGGAAATATCAATCACAAAAGGCAATCCCTGCTCTGGTTTGTCCTAGCATTAGGTAATACAAACAATTAGCACCTCAATCCAATCTAAAAAGTCTATTCCCAAACAAAAAATTGGAAATGGAATACCTCATGGGTTGCCAAGTAAAAAAGTCTAATTTGAAGAAATTGTGAAAGACAATCTGCGAGGTATGGAAATGTCTTTAAGGCCCACATAGTGATCTTAGCAACAGGAAGCTGAACATTGGTTTCAAAAATTGAACACTCCCATAAGTCCAATTTAGTGCTTCCATCTTCAACACATGATTGAATGGATGACATTACCAAATGAGTAACATCTGGTAGCCCGGGAAAACCTAAAGATTCAATGGATTTCAACTTCTTACAATCCCACGACATAACCCAACACATCCAAAGAAGCATCAATACATCAACTGGCAATAGATACCCATTGGCTTTACATTCATCATCACCGGGAACAAATTGCAGTTTTCCAGGAAGACCTGCTTTCGAATTCATCAAAGAAAAAACCCTAAGCAAATTATTAATTGACGTAGAACCAATTGTCCTCCCACAACACCTAGAATAGCCATTCAAGAACTCAACCCAGCTCACTCCTCTTCCCTTTTCAGACAAGAAGAACAGGTCAACCATAGAATAGCTCAGATGACTCAACAAAACGTGAAAATCCTTAGGCACACATGTTCCTTCGTTCTCAGAGTTCTCGATGGTAAACAGGAAACATTTCTGTGACCAATGAAAACTACAATCAAATAAAGAAAACAATAAACTACACAGATAGAGATTGGAAGTGTTCGAAGGAATTGACAAAAGGATTAAAAGTCTGATGATCTCTGATCATATACACTGGCAGTGCACCTGGAGCGAATCGACAGGGACGGTTTTCGTTTGGGGATCGGAGAGGATAGAAAATGCTTTTTGGAGCGTCGGAAGTGCTCCGGTGGACGCAGCTAGAGATTCCGCTTCCAGTTGCTCCGGGGATGGCCGGTCGGCGGATGATGACTGTCCCATTGCCTTCTCTTCTCTTCTCCTTTCTTCCTTTTTTTTCGCTCTTATATACTCTGGGTATTTTGGACTTATTTTTTTCAAAGGCACATGTAAACTTTGTTTATTTATAGGTTTTCATTGGTTATTTTATTTGATAAAATAAAATATTCCTGACATTTTTTATTTCGAAGAATTTTTCATATAATTTTTTGATATATAAATTTTATTTTTTATTTCTATACCAATATGTAAAAAAAATGAATTCAAAAAACTTGATATTTTACTTTGGGAAATACAAGTGTGACAAATAAAAGCCCACTTTATTTAAAAAGGCCAATCTGTAATGGGCTGATATTGGTCTTAACTCAAATTTAAAAATTAACTAGTCATATTTCATGCCTATTAGCTTAATATCCTCTTCAAGGAGTTAAAGCTACTTTTTTAATGTAATTTTTTATGATTTGTCTACTAAAAATAGCATTAAAAAAATAACTTTTTGTAACGAATTGTTTGAAATTTTTTTATTATAAACAACATAAATTAGTAGTTCCATATTGATGAAGATGGAGAATTTGCTAAATGCAATTTAATGAATTACTAGATGAAAAATAATATCACGCGTTCGTTTTTAGCACAAAATTAAATATTTGTAATGCTATGTCTGTCCACAAATTTTCTTCACCTTGTTCATAAAGTCAAATTTTATATGCTTTTTTTACATATTTTTGTTTAAGTGTTGATAAAATAATAGTCATATCACCTCTTGTTTCATAAAATTGTTTAATGTAATTTTTTTTAATTTTACACTAATTTTTAAATAAGTTAAATTAAAAATAACTTCAATCAAATATTGTAAGAACAAAAAAATGATTTGGGGAAGGGGGGGGGGGGGGGAAANTGTAGTACTCCATCGTCCCAAATTATTATGTATGTTCACTATTCACAGAGTTAAATTTCATTTAATTTCTTTCTCTATTTTTGTTAGCAATTTGATAAAATAAAATATTATTGTCAATATTAGTTTTGTAAATCTTTTGATGTAGTATTTTAATATAGTAATTTTTATTTTTTAACTATTGCCATTTTTCATATAAAATGATTTGAAAATAATTTCAGTCAAACATCGTAAACCGAAACAAGCATTATAAAACGGGACGGAGGGAGTAGTAAGTAGTCCTCAAAATAAAGAATGATAAATAAACCTTTTTTTATTGATCTCTTGTGTTTTTCAACCAAGTCTTGACAATATAATATCCTTGGAAGACATTTGATTAATGTGAAAGTGCATCATAATAATCGTGTACTCCATATAATAATCAGGTAATGAACATCATGCAATAATAATGATAATTACATTCAATAAACTCCATAAAATATTTCTAAAAATTTGTTCTCTCGTTTCATACACGGAATTGATGAAATTGATAATTGAATTAAGAGTTAAAATTCTACTCCGTACTCCCTCCGTCCTATATCTTTCTTCCCGGTTCGCAAAATGAAGAAAAATCCTAAGTTTTTTCAATCTATTTTATTTAAATATTGGTATAAAAATGAAAAATAAAACATACATATTTAAAAACTACATCAAAAGTTCAACAAAACAAGTGATAACAAGAATATTTTATTTTATCATATAGGTCATGAAAAAACGCAAATAAATATAAATTCCCGTGAAGTTGGAATAGTGTTCTGGGAAGAAAGTTTTAGGACGGAAGGAGTATAAGATTTGATTTGGATGAATTGAATTCTCCAATTTCAATTCATTTTTTGCACTACCAATTCCGAATTCACATATTTTTGTGCTATCAAACACCAGAATTAGAATTGTTATCCTCAATTCTAATTCTATAGTTTGAATTTCGTGTACCAAACAGAGTCTCAACGTTTTTCAACTACCAAAAACTTGAGAATCACTTAGGCCATATTTTCTTTACCTGATCTGAATGGTTTCGAATTGATTGAAATAAATTACTCCGTATGATCTAACCTGGTGTGATCCGATTGTAATTATATTTAAAATCGTTTTAAAAAATTAGATTTGTTTTATGTAGTATATTTAATCTAGGTTCAAGTTATCAAGTTTCATGTTCCAATTACAAGGTTTCCAAAATATTGGTCTCATTACTCCAGATTCCAAAATCAAGTTAATAGACTCCGGATACAATTATCAACTCCCAATGCTGATTCAAAAAAAAACTCCCAATGCCAGATTTTAATTAAAATTGAAGCACGCGAAAATTAGAGCTTGTTTTCTTCTAACTTATTTTTATATTACTTATTCTTATTGGAATCATGTCAAAAATAATTTTTAAGTACAACTACAATCAAATCAGAACCAATCAGATAAGTTGAAGAGAACAAGCTCTTAGGTCATGTTACCTCAACTTATTTTTTTACTTATTACTTATTCTTATCAGATCATATCAGATCAAAAACAACTTTAAATATAACTATATTCAGATCAGATCAGAGATCATATTTGAATAGGAAGAGAACATGGTCTTATATAAACTTATAAAAATAATCAGGCTCCGGTTACCACACTCCAAACTAAAGTTAGCATTTGGTATTTAAAAGAAAAAGAAGAAAAGAAGGTTAAGTTAGAAATGCAAGTGATGTGTCTTTTAAAGTAAATGTCATCTCGCCCAACTCTCTAATTACCTCAAGTAGGGAGTATCATCCCTTTTCTTATGCGTTCTTTGCATCTCTTCTCCTCTCTTTTTTTGCTTCCCAATCCCCATGCAATCCTCATGCATCAACACTGAGTACTGACTGAAGCTTGATTCGACTGGCAAAATTCAACTCCTCTGTGAGCCAGAGAAATGAGAAGAATGTCAGATGGCAGAGTATAAGATAACAATTGAAGAATGGATTGAAACTTACAAGCAAAAAGGCATATTCTCTTTTTAGTACAGCCTAATCACCAGAATGGGTGGGGGGTGGGGGCTCTGAGGAGGATCATAGGTGAACTACGAAACACTGTTTTCCCATTAGCTTCTCAGTTCTGGTAAATCTCCGGTGTCTCTCAGAACGCAAGTCAAGTCCCTGATTACTTCATATATCAAACCTGTTTGCGTATGAGTATTATGACCCATAGAGAAGAAGTGGGCTTGTCTTTGAACCTCAATCATGCTATACCCGGGCTCCTTTTTGACCCCCGACTCCTTCATCACTCTCCTGATTTCTGCAACATTGTTCCACATGCCAAACGAAGCATAAGCATTAGAAAGGACAATGTATTTCCCTGCATTCTCTGGTTCCAACTCAAAATAATTCATCGCAGCGAGTTTTACCATGTCCATGTTTCCATGAACCTTACAAGCCCCAAGCAAAGCACCCCATAACGCAGGATGCTCCTTAAAGGGAGAGTTCTTGACAAACTCATAAGCCTCTTCTAATCTACCAGCACGTCCTAAGAGATCAGCCATGGCTGCATGGTGTTTCCTGCTTGGTTGGATCCCATAATCTCTCTTCATTGAAGAAAAATACTCTCTGCCTTCATCCACTAAGCCTCCATGGCTACAAGAAGAAAGAACCGCAAGAAACGTGACAGTGTTGGGTCGAAAGCCTTCACTGACCATTCTATGGAAAGAATCCAGCACATCTACTACCATACCATGCTGCCCAAATCCAGAAATCAGAGCAGTCCATGTTACGACATTCTTCTCCAAGGACCTCTCAAAGACGAGGTACCCATCGTAGGGACAACTGCATTTGAAATACATATCCATGAGGGCACTGTTAACAACAACGTTTCTACATATTAGCCTTTTGATCATCATGGCATGTGCTTGTCTACCCTGTTCCAAAATCGACAGAGAGGCACATGCCCTAAAGACTGATGAGAAAGTGTATTGGTCGGGTTTCAAGCCGCATCGTTTCATTTTGTAATAAAGGCATAAGCCCACTTCTTCCATTCCCTTTTGCACATACCCTGCGATCATTGCATTCCACGAGACAAGACATTTAAATTGCAACCTATCAAAAATAATGTGTGCAGTATCCATATCGCCTGATTTTGCATACAGGATTAGCAGCTTGACTGTTAGATATTGATTAGGGAGAAAACCAACGACAGTCATTTGCGAATGAATTCTTCTTCCGTTCTTGTATGCCTTAGTGAAAATGCACTCCTGCAAAAGAAGGGAGTATGTTTCAGACTCCACTTGCACTCCATTGCCGCACAAAATCCCAATTGCTTCCCTAACTCTTCCTGAGAAACATAAATCTTTAATTGTTTTGTCCCAACGGTAAAGATTCTTTAGACCATCAGCCTGAAAACTGTGAATATAATCAACAAATGCTTTATGTACTTGTTGGAATGAGCAAATCTACCAACTCCTTAGAACATTTATTTTTTCTATACCAACTCCCAATATAACCAAGACATCAGCCTAGAGCAAACCACAAGCATATAAAAGAATTACCCCTATGTTTCAGCGTATTTGTTTAGTTTGAGTTTTTTCAATCAAACTAATCGAACTGAGCATCAAATAATTAAAACTTACATTGCATATTAATACAATGATACTGGGTATAATTTTTTAAAAAGCTTTTTTCAAGATAAATCTAATAAAATCTTTTTTTATCAATATTCAATGCGCTTTTTATTTAATTGGAGATCAATGTTTGTCTATAATTTTTTTAGCGTTATCCTTAATATTATTAGGAAAATAAATTGTTTCCGATTAGTAGTTTTATTCTATTTTAGTGAATATTCCTGATAAGGATTTATTTTTCCTAGTATGATTAGGGTAGTGATTTTTGTAAGGCTTTGCCAATTTATATTCAACAGCTCTATTAACAAAATTATGGTTGAAATCAAAACTCTCTTTATGAGAAGCTATTCACGGGCAGAAAAGGATGAATATTTTCTTATACGCCCGCTATTATGTTCGTAACAATATCGTTTCTTTATAAAGTAAAAGTAGGCATTTTGCCCACTTTCTATCAAATACGGAGTACTCGGGCATAGAGCTATACTGAAATATGGATATGAATATGCAGAATTTACACATTGACTGTTTGTATTTCTCTTTGGGATAAAAGCAAATTATCTTTTTCTCTAAAATTCATTTTAAATAATTAAACTCCAACTGTGCTTTATACACTCTCTCTCTCTCTCTCTCATACGCACACAAAATCTCTAATATAAATAAGTACAGAGAATTTCAATTTGAATGCCTCAGTATTAAAACATAATAAAAGTATTTTGAATCACTATATTTCCTCTAAAATTAACTATTCCAATAAAAATTCCAGAATTTTCCTAACCTTCCTGTGGTGCTATCAGCCCTTGTCCTCTTCAGAAGAGTGGTAGTTTTTCCAGCAAACATAGGCCCCAAAGTCACACAAAACTCTCCAAATTCTGGTTGCATTGACTGGTGTCTCAAGTTTTGAACTTGATTGCAATTTGATATTTTTATACACCCATATAAAGTAATAGAGATCCATGGTTTCACAGTTTGAGCAGGCTTAAGTCTCTGAAGGGGCCTGAAAATGGCCTCTTGAAAAGATGAATTAGAAGGCAAATTCTATGTATCTCGTGATATGCAAGCACCTATATACATATGTGTGTGTGTGTGTTTATATATGTATGTATGTATAAAGACTAAATTTCTGATCTAGAGACTATAGTGAATAATCAATGATGTCATAATAAAAATGTCATGAATTACAGCTCATAAAGTTTTCACCAATTTACAATACCCATATGAAGAAAAAGAGCCTTAGTTTCACAGTTTGAACATGGTTAAGGCTCTGAAGAGGTCTAAAAATGGCCTCGTGAAAAATGAACTCGGACACTGCTTAGTTCTTTACTACGTAGTATGTCCATTGGTGACATTGATTGGGGCAGAGGCATGTTTCTATTGTATTTGTTTTGAATTTTGATAATATCTTTTGAATCACCTACAGCACAAAGTCCAATCACAGCATAATAAAGACGACCTAAACAAAAACTTCTTCGTTATTGAATCACCTACAGAACAAGCTCAAATTACATCTTTTTTTATTAAAAATTGAGGTTGTGAGCTCTTTATCCATTCAACTTCCTCCGTCCTATAAAAAGAGTCTCATTCCTCAACTTGTTTTGTCCCATAAGAAGAATGCTATTTCTTAACTTGTTAGAGAAAATAGGTATATTTAAGGGGCCATTCAGTTGGATTTAATTTCAATACTATTCAATTCAGTTCAGTATCATAATATCATTCAGTCCAGATCACTTTAGTACCATTCAGTACAGTTCAGTACTACTAAGTTAAAACTTAAAAATTACACTATAATCACTTCGATTCAATTTAGTATCATTCACTTCAATTCAGTACTTTGTATGACTTGCACCACACTAAAATTTAAATATTATAACCTCATCAAAGTAGACTCCTTTTATGAGACAGAAGGAGTATACGTTATGTTTCATTTTCCTGAAAATCAAAAAACACACTTCAATGGAACAACAACAACCCCGTAAATCCCACAATTGGGCTCTGAGGGACGTAGATGTAACAACTAACAACAACCCCGTATGTCGACCTTCCCCATACCCAACATGGTAGGGAAGCTGTAAAAAACACTTCAATGTAGGTTTTTAAAATGATGTCATATGGGGGGGAAGCAGCGTGGGCAGGGGTTCGAGCCAGTCTCCAAAAAAGGGTATCTAAGCAGAATTGTTTATGCTGGTGTACCATTCAAGATGTATTAAAAAGAGGACAAAATAATACTCCATCCATCCTAAAATAAACTTTCAACTTTCATTTTTGCTATGTCCCAAAATACAGTTCTGGTTCCATTTTAGAAAAGCATTAAATGATTCACGTTATTTCTCTCTTCTGAAAAAATCTCAACTGCATAATTTTTTTCTTAAACTCAATGAAAAAACAAACGGGAAGTTTAATTTGGGACAGAGGAAACAATATACCTTCTCAGTATATTGCCAAATGTTTGAAGCATCCCAGATTCCCAGACGATTGTTAGCGTGTCCAAACCTTCTCCATCTAGCCTTCATGATGAACAGTGCATCATAACTTATGTCACCTGACCAATTCAAAAGGATCAAATAATATAAGATATTAAAGCATCTACTTTCACTCGAGAAAATTTATTCTTCCAAAAGAAAGAATTCAATGTACTGATATTTCTTTTAATAGGACCAGAATACAACTGCTGATGAAAACCCTGCAACGCTAAACTCCACGACTGCTAATGTACTCCATGGCACTTGACGAAAGAGGTTTACACTCCTAATAATGACCCTAAAATAAAATTGCATAGGGCCGGCAACTGGACATCAAACCCCATGTGCTAATCTGGTAAGTGGTAACTTTCAGGCGTTTTGATACACCAGTACTATAAAGTATCTAAATCATAAACACAGCCAGTTCACTATGTATACATCCAGATATACCATGATATTCATACATCAAGAACATGAGTCATTCATATTTAAATCTGCATTCTCTAGGAGGAAAATAAAGAGTATTTAAAAAAACCTAAACACGAAAAGACAAGTAGAAATGAGCATTATCCAAAGAACAATGGGAGATACTGAAATAGTTGAAAAATTACAGAAAATGTCGCTAGATGTAAAAAAACACAAATTGAACTCATCAATCTATATCGAACAGAGATAGGAGACCCGCAGAATTTCAATGCAAAATGTCTATAAACAAAATGTAATTTAACTAAATTGGTGCAGATAGGAAAAAAACATGCCTTATCACTCTCAGATAGTCAAATTTGGTTGCAACTACTTTTTCTTATGTTCGTATTAGTCGTATATGAACTTTGTTTAACTGTCAATACAAGATAGAGAGAAAAGTTATAAAACAAAAACATGAAGGTTCAGGGAACCCGAACGATGGATGAACGGGGAGCCACCACTAACCGATCGCCGTTTGGTTACACCGGTAGAATTCCTGATTTGGAATTGGAACCGTTTTCAACCACTACCCGTTGGGTTCGGAGGCGGAGCTCGGAATAAATTTCAGAAAACGCAATCAGCTGATGAGGAATTCACGTTGGAGCGCTGAACAAGTGGAAGCCGTCGCATTAGCCTTCTCCGGTTGGATCTTCCGTCTCCAGAAACTAACGGTACTTTCGTTGGAGGTAGGTAAAAGTTTTATTAGGTAGGTAATTGAAGGTAGGTAATTGAAGGTACGTAAAGTAAGGTAATGAGTTAAAAAAATTATGTTTGGATGTTTATTAGGTAACGTGAGGTCGGGAAAGAATAAAATTACTAAAATATCCTTATGCACACAATCCATGTATAACAGCATTATATCAATACGAATTTAGCAATTCATTTATATGCCTCATGTCTCCAAGGTAATCCAAAGCAAAGTAATCACAACCAGTTCTAAAAAGTCCGTGATATAAACGCTGTGTGTTACAACAGATGGACTCAAAAATGCAAAATTGTAGAAAAAACAGAAAAAATTACCAGAAAAAAACACAAAAAAAAAAAGAACATAAAACCACAAAAAAAAAACAGAAAAAAATAGTGAAATGAAAATTGAAAAAAGGGACAAAAAAAACAAAATCTGGTATGAAGGAAGCATGGTATTTTGGAAATCTGGGCAATTATTCGGTTGAACCTCAATTTGACTTCACTTTTTTTTTGCTTCCTACAAATTTTTTTTAATTGTAAAAGTGATTCAAGCAAAATTGAAGGAAGTATGGTATTGTGCAGAACAAATCTGGCCAACGCAAAGCAGAGCAGAACCATACGAAAAAAAATTGAAAATTGAAGTGCAAAAATCGGAATACCTGTCTGGTTGGAGATGGCTATCGGAAGACTACGATGGTAATGTGAAGATGGCGATTGGTTTTCTATGGGGTACGGCGATTTGGGTAGTGAAGGATAGCTGCGGAGAATAGAATTTATTACATGTTTCTCCAAATTGGCGGTCATCCAAAATAAAATAACTGTTCAGGGGTAACCCTACCTCTCCCTACCTCTCTTTACCTATTTCAATTTTTGTTACCAAACAAGGTAGAAAATTCCTCTCTCTACCTCCCCTACCTCCAAACAAACATAGTGTAAGGCCTCCCAGACACCGCCTTTGTAACAAAAACTGAAAAACAGAAACAAAAAAAGTGGAAAAAAAAGGAAAACTGAGAGAAACGAAAACTGAAAAAAAGGCAACAAAAAAATCGAAAACTGAAAAAAAAGGTGAAAGAAAGCTGGAAACTGAAAAAAAATGAAAATTGTAGTAAGCAGAGGAAATTAAAAACTGGAAATTGAAAATTGGAAAAAGTGTAAAATTTAAGTAGAGCAGAACGAAAAACGTGAAAAAAAATCTGGAAATTGAAAAAAAAAGTGAAAATTGAAGTGCACAAAAAAGTGAGCAATGGCTATAGAAATTGAAGAGCATAGCAGAACAAAAATAAGCACGTAAAAAAAATCTGAATTGAGCAGCAAAGGAGCAGATGGCGATCAAAATTGAAACAAAAAAAATAACTATGCAGCAATTATGGAGGAATTGGAGAGCAGAGCAAATCGGGAAAAAAAGTGAAAATTGAACGGCGATCGGAATACCTGTTGATTGGCGATAGGAACCGGAAGAAGAAGGCGATGTGGAGATGGCGATTGGTTTCGTGCGATTTGGTGAAGGGCAGCGGCCTATTTTATTACCTCGATATTTCGCCCGGTCATCTAAAATTGGACTGTGGTTGGAGAGGTAAAATATCCCAATTTTTGTTATCAGGTGAAACAAAGGCTATATTTGGTTGAAAGCAGGTAATGGTAGGTAATTGAATATAGTTAAAGTAAGGTAATGAGTTAAAAAATTGTGTTTGCATGTTTATTAGTAAAGTGAGGTAGAGAATGAATAAAAATACTAAAATATCCTTGTGGAAATAATTCATGTCAAAGGCAAAACTTCTTACAGAGTAAAAAATCCATTTGGGTATTTTGGCATCAGAAGTAGTTCACGAAGCATAAACAATACAAATTGAAAATTAAAAAAAGTCATCTATTGCAATATTGGCCTTGTTTGGATTTTTGGCTGTTGGCAGTTCGTGCCAGCTGTTGTGAATGGCTGCTTGGTTTAGCTGGTTTGACCGGCAGGATAAATTGACTGATCGTTAAAAATGTTTGGTAAAATTAGCTGTTTAAAAAATAACACATACACACACACATATATAGACACACACACACACACGATATTTATTTTTTATTTTTTTTACTTTCATTTAATTCATAAGAAATTATTAATATACAACTTTTTAATGATTTTTATTTTTTATTTTACTATTTCATTTTTTTTGAAATTTTTAAATTTTAAATTTGATTTTTTTTTTAGCATTTAATCTTTTAAACTTTTATTTCTATTTTTAGTTTTTACACATATTATAAAATATTTTTCAAGAAAAATGATTTTTTTATAAAAAAATCTAGGCATTTCAGATTTTGACTTTTCGGATCAAAATGTCAAGTGAAAAAGCCATTAGCCAAACGGTAATTTTGGCGGGTCGCTAAGTCAAATATGCGTCAGCCAAATATGCCAAAAAAAGTGAAAAAGGATAGACTGCTTCTTGCATAGTCATAACTAGATAAATCAATCTGCAGCAATTAATTAATCTTGGAGCTAAACAAAAAAAAGTGAAAAAAAGGAAAACTGAAAGAAACGAAAACTGAAAAAAAGGAAACAAAAAAACGAAAACTGAAAAAAAAGTGAAAGAAAGCTGGAAACTGAAAAAAAATCGTAGTAAGCAGAGGAAATTAAAAACTGGAAATTTAAAATTGAAAAAAAAGTGTAAAATTGAAGTAGAGCATAACGAAAAAAGTGAAAAAAAAATCTGGAAATTGAAAAAAAGTGAAAATTGAAGTGCAAAAAAAAGTGAGCAATGGCTATAAAAATTGAAGACCATAGCAGAACAAAAATAAGCACGTAAAAAAATCTGAATTGAGCAGCGAAGGAGCAGATGGCGATCAAAATTGAAACAAAAAAGAGATTAACTATGCAGCGTTTATGGCGGAATTGAAGAGGAGAGCAATTCGGAAAAAAAAATGAAAATTGAACGGCGATAGGAGTACCCGTGCGATCGGAACCGGAAGAAGAAGGCACTGTGAAGATGGCGATTGGTTTCTTGCGAATGTTCAGAGGTAATTCAATTTTTATTGCCGAGGTAAAACATTAAATTTACCTCACTTTACTTCCCTCTACCTCCAAACAAAGACAGTGTTACTCTCGTCACTGTACGGTGGGGAGTGTTTATTTCCCACTAAACGACGACACTTTAAGATGTGAATTTTTAAATTAATTAAGGCGGCGGCGTTCGGGATTAAATAATCTCTTTAGTTCAAAAGCAACATTTTACAGTACCGCTCTGGAATCGTTATGGAAGTACCAATAGTTCAAGGAACTGGGTACTAGGATTGTAAAATGAACGAATAATTTTGATTAGATTCGTAATTCATATTCGAAAAAATGGATACAAGTAAGAATATATAAATATTTGTTAGAATTTGAAAGAAAACGAATACAAATACGAATGTATATGTATTCGATTCAATATGAGTTTAAATATAGAAAAAAGTATAATTTTATTTATGAGAGCTGTTAAAAATATTAGAGCTGAAATTATAAATATTTTGAAAAAAGTATAATTTTTGTTTACTATGCAAAATAGCGTGAAATATATCTTCACGTGTTCTAATTTTTCTCGAGATTAAAGTAAACAATGAAAAAATTCAATTTCTTTGTATATATGCAGATCGATCCGAGTCAAGTGTATTTTAAGGGCCCAAATCGAAATGTGTCTGCCCACTAGAGTGGCTTGGATTGATTACTGTCCGGTTTGAAGTCAGCCCAACACTCTTGACGGACATGTAAGCCCAGAAATCAAAATTGAACGGCTCAAGTATTGATTAAGTTAGGCCTGGACAGGTTACATGATTAACCACTTAACTTGACATATTTTGTATTTATAAAAGCACACGGAGTCACTCTTTCCATCCGTAAATGTTTTCTTATTTGATTTTTTTGTCGAAGTTTATAAAATTTAATTTTGATATACAGAAAAAAT